CTGCTCCATCTGGGGCTGCCCTCCAGCCTCTTGCCCCCCAGTTTGTCTGGACAACCAGGATTACCCTATCCCAGGTGGAGAATCCAGCACCTCCTCTTGTTAAATCTCATAGAGTTGGTGACTGCCCAGCTCTCTGGTCTATCCAGATCTCTCTGTAAAGCCTCTCTCTACCCTCAAGGGAGTCCACAGCTCCTCCTAATGTAGCATCATCAACAAACTTAATGAATGTTCAACTCCTGCATCCAGATCATTTATAAAAACATTAAAGAGCATTGGCCCTAAACTGAGCCCTGGTGACATCAGTGGTGACTGGCCAGCAGCCTGATCTAAGCCCATTTACTGTAACCTTTGGAAGCTAACATATCACTCAGTTGCTCTCCCAATATATTATGGATTTCTCTAGCTCTGAGCCTGACACTTGGTCCAGAAGGATACTCTGAGAGACAGCAGCAAAAGCTTTGCTAAAATCCAGCTACTGGCTTCCCTCAGACAACTGGATGGGTGACCCTGTCATGAAAGGAAATTAAGTTAGTCAAGCAGGACTTTCCCCTCATGAACCCATGCTGGTGATGACCCATGGGTTGTCCCTCAAGCACTTGTGCTTTTCAGCAACTCCCAGAATAACCTTCTCCATATTTTACCAGGCACTGAAGAGAGACTGACAAGCCTGTTATTACCAGGGTCTTACTTTTCAACCTCCTTGAAAATTTGCACAACATTTTCCAGCTACCAGTTGACTGGGAGGTCCTGAGATCACATCAGCCAGCTCTTTGAGTACCCTGGGATGAACCCCACTGAGCCCCATGGATGTGCATCCAGCACGTGTCATGCAAGTTCAAGGTTGGCTGGAAGTTCATCATCCTTCCAGTCACCATCTCCAGGGGTCCCAGGGCCCATGATCAGTGTTAAAGACAGAGGTGAAGAAGCATTAAACATCTCTGCTTTGTCTACAACCCTATTCATGAGGTGACTGACCTTGCCAAGCAACAGACCAACGTTCTCTCTGATCCTCCTTTTGCTGCTAATGTATTTTTAAAAGCCCATTTTGTTGTCCTTCCAAGTTTCTGGTCAGGTTCAACTCTAATCAAGCTTGGGCCACACAAATTTTCTCCCTACAGTGATGAACAGCATCTCTGTAGTCCTCCCCTGTTGCCTATTCTTACTTCCACATTCTCAGATTTTGAGGTCTAGCACCTCATTTCACAACAAATGAATTCTGCACCTAATTTCACAATGCAAATGGGAATTTCTGACACCAGATATGTAGGCACTCTTAAATTGTTAGCAGTAGGAGATTTCAAATAAAATCACTTATGCATCCTGACTGTGTCTTCTTGTGGCAAAATAATTGTAAAGATATAGTTAAAAGTAAATATACAAAATATATATGGCAAAGATCCATGCCAGGTTGTGCTGTGCATTTGTGTGCTTAGCTCAGATCTCTGGGATCTCATCAATGTTTATCAACATCTAAAGGGCAGGTGTCAAGAAGATGGGGCCTGTCTCTTTTCAGTGGTGCCCAGGGGTAGGACAAGGGGGAACAGACACAAACTGGATCACAGCAAGTTCCCCCTAAATCTAAAATTCTTTACTGCGAGGGTGCAGGAGCACTGGAACAGGCTGCACAGAGAGGTTGTGGAGTCTCCTACCCTGGAGACTTTCAAAACCCCCCTGGCCACATCCCTCTGCAACCTTATTTAGGTGAACCTGCTTGGGCAAGGGGGTTGGACTAGATGATCTGCAGGAGTTCCTTGCAACCCCTACAATTCTGTGATTTTTGGGCAATCTTAAACAAAACAATGAAATCTGCCACACTTCAGGATGACTCTCCACTGCTTAAATGAGTATCAGAAAAGAAATTAAACCCTATCAACTCTCATTCTGTGCTGCAGCTGAACAAATGTCCTTTAATTGTCACCTGTTTCAAAGCCCTGCAGAGGTGCCTGCAGCAGTTTGGGTTTGTTGCAGGGTCCTGCAGGGCCAACACGTGCAACTGGAAATAAACCCTCTCTGCCCAAGCCATGGGGACTCCCCAGGGCACTAGGGATGGTTCCCAGCTGCCAAAGCACAGACACCCTCTAGCACTGGTCAAGCACAGAGCCTGCTAGGTCACACAGCACTTAACCCTCTTGGGCTTTGTCCTCAGCAAAGTGGCCACACTACAGGCAGCTAAATCTGTCTTTTGAAGCAGTTTTTTAATGCTCAAGAAAAGCTGTGCTTGAGCTAACTGGCATCAGTGGCTGGGATAACCCACACAGGGATAACTGAGATCTGACAGTACACACCACTCAGTTGTAATCAAAGGTTGCTCAAGATCACTTGATAACACTTCCAAATCCACTGCTCAGTTCAAACAGTGATATTTTTTTCCCATTTGTCTGCTACCTCCTTTAAGGAGGACCTATCCCTTGTTTCTAATCAAACAGATGCAAATGGTCCAGTCAATGCTACAAAGCCAAACAAAAAATAGTCTTTCATCAAGCTGCATTTTGCTGAGGAAGGAGCAATCAGGCAGCAATCACAGGGCCTGGCCCATTTGCTGCTCTTGACAGCAGCATCAGTTACATGCTGGCTAAGTGTGCAGGCTAAATGGGTGTCTCTCTTAGCCCAAACAGGCTCCCCTGGGCAGTGCTTATGGCACCAAGCCTGCCAGAGTTAAAGGATGATGCTTTTAGTCATATGGTTTAGTTCTGGGTAGTCCCACGAGGAGCAGGGAGTTGGACTTGATGATCCTTAGGGGCCCCTTCCAGCTCAAGATATTCTGTGATTCTTTGGTGAGGACAAGTGTCTCACAAGCCCTGTTGCCCTTCTGGCACAGTATGCACAAGTCACCTATTTTTTCCAATCAATAAATGGCTTGAGGGATTTCAAACAGATGCAAAACATTTCTCTTTTTCAGGTTACTGTGAAATCTTACTCCTTGTTTTTAATAGCACAGGAGAGAGAGGAAGCAGAACAACAGAAACACAAGCAAAACCAATGTATTTTATTTCTATCTAGTCAGTATTTCATTTTTGAAGATCTGCAGAAAACAGCTTCAGAGAACTGCACCTTTTATCGTTTCCCATTAGTTGCCATGGCTACTGAAAACATAAAACACATTTTAAACTTGTTTTGACCTGAAGATCTGGTAGGTAACAGTTTTTGTAAAGCTCAGCCTCTGCTGAAACTGAATCCCACAGTCACAAGCATAAAAAAGTTATAGGTACTTTCCATATTAAGTTAGAAGTGTCAGATAAAACTACCCATGCAACAGTACAGCACTGCAAAAATACCTCAGTGAAGTTTTATTAGATCATATCTGAAATTTAGGACAGTGCTTGTACATAAAAGTCTATAAACAAAACCTGTCAGTAAAATCAGGAAATGGTTGAATTATGTCAACGTTTGTATTAAATAATATTTAGTAGACTAATATAGCATACCATAGGAAAATAACTCTTTAGAAAGGTTACAGTAGCTATATTCACTGAATACTTCTGTACTGCAGCATTCATATTATGAATGGGATTGTTTATTGCAGGGATATTTTTCTTTGGTCCAATGCACCTGAAAGTTGGCCACACATATGCACAGCAAGAACATATCAAGGCAGACTCCTCCCAGAAAGTCTGTGATGGCAGTGACAGGAATCACTGCACCATATGTGTATGGATCATGCTTCAAAATTCTCCTCTTGCACTAGGCAGCAACCAGAAATATTTTCCAAATTCTTCAGTAAGAAACTGCAGCTCCCAAGCCTCCCAAGGCACGCTGTGAATCACTGCTCCCTCAAGAGAAAGTGTAAGTGCTGCTGCTTCTGTCATCAGTACTGCATGAAGTTGGAACTGCAAAATAAAAGCAAGCACATAAACTGCAACATACCCTGAAGAAATAAATTAAATAGACTTAAATTTCAATTATATTAAAAAGAGAAATAGATTAAATAGAAAAAACTAAAAGAATCTAATTTTATTCTGAAGTTGAGAGTTACTCATAATAGTGCAGATAAATACTTGTTACCAAGAATTCCTTTTTCATCTGTAAAAGCAGAAAAGGAGCTCAGTAACATTACTTGAAACACAATAAATTCTGGTAAGAACACAGGCTGCTAGCATACACCCCAAAAATGTCAAAGCTCTCTTGATGATACTTGTGGAACTATATGCACCCATCTAGATTCTAAAGTTTTTAATAATCTAGCAGTTATGAATTATTTCTGTACAAAGAAAAAAATCTGCTTTCAATTGCAGTAAGATATTAATAAAAAAAAGTTTTCTGCAGTAAAGTTGTAACCCATTAGGAAAGGAAATTAAGAAATGAATTAACTTCTGATTTTAGAGGTAATTAATTTCATTTAATGTCTACATGAACATTTAATTCAATGTCCATATATGAAGAAGTTGGGCATGGATTCAAAACTAGTCTCTGGAAAAGCATTTCTGAAGTTTCACCATTTCTTTGAGTTGTTCTTTTGGGAGTGTGAAAGAAAGAAGTGGGTGGGAAAGAATAAAGTGAAGTGTTTATCAGGTCATATTCTGCACTCAGTGTAATTTTACAGCCAATTTTATCCATCTCTCCTCTAACAAACCTGTACTAGGAAGGCACATGTAGGATGATGGTACAGCAGCAGTCAGGCTGCTGCATCAAAACCTGAGTGCTCCAATCAAAGACTATTTCTGGGTCAAATTCCCTGGGTGAATTTCTCTCCCTCTCTAACTTCTCTGTTCATGAACATTCACAATTTCTTCATCTCTGAGGTCAAAGCACAGGGGCTTCTCAAAAACCTTTGCTCCTTCATGGAAAAAAGGTTTAAAAAAGAAAAAAACCAAAACAAAACACAATGCTCATAGAATATACAGCAATTAATCTAGAATAAATCCAAGCATGGGCGTATTTTACACGCTTCTGTCTTCTTATCACATAACAGAACAGGAGCACAGTTGTATCTTTTCTAAAAAATAACTGAAATTGGCATTATATGAGTGATATATGAAGAATTTTTTTTGCCCAGCACTTACTTTTTACGGTCTTTGTCTCTCTTCAAACTAATAACAGGGGTAGAGACAGATGCCTGTGAGAGGAGTAACTCAGCATTAGCTTTCTTCTCAATAAACATGGCAATTTCATCTTCCAGAACTTTCTTCTTTTTCTCTAACTTCAGTTTCACTTCGTGATGCATCAGCATATGATGTTCAAATTTAGTCTGTACCTGTGTAAAGGAAGCACAACACCCCAGTATTTCCAGCTGGTAACACAAGGTGGTGATACCACAGCACAAAAACATGGGCAACTGAACAGCAAAATCTACCTCAATCTGTGTTAAAAGTCATAAGGAGTTGCAGTTCTTTCCCAGAACTGATAAGACTAAAAAATCAGCAATCCAGGAAAATAATCAGGCTTATCAGATTGCTCTCTCATAAATCTGATAGGAGAAATCTGATAAGGCTACTATGCACAGACTACAGATGGAAACCATGGAGAGCACTATGTGAATATCAGATTTTCTACAAGATTTTACTGTATCTTTATTATATTAAAAATAAGGAGGCCTTTAAAGATTAAACGATTACCAACAGAAAGATTAAATCAGGATCTGCCAAGGAGAATTTATTTCCCTAAAACCAAGCAGGCAAGGAAACGTACAGATTTCAGTTACACAGGTATGTATTTTAATATAGGTATTATTTTAATATCTATAATTATATTTACATCTATTAGGATGTACACACACAGTCTGGCTGGAGGAGTTACTTGTGGGCTGCAAGAAGTTAATTGTTTTTCTGCAGTAATTGATCTTTGACTGTTCTTTTGACATATTAATGGATTTTACTCTCCAGATGCATTTTGACCAGTTTAAACCTGTGAAGCTGTGCAGGATAAGCAAAGGGTACCTCACCCTCCCTCACCTCCCCTCTCCCCACACAGAAACTCTCCTAGAGTCCTGCTTCTGGATGCATCTATATTGGTGTAATTCAATCAATGTAGCAACACTGGTACAGAAATCAGAGAGATCTCACTGCTGAGAGATGGCTCAGCAGTGGTATTGCTGCACATGGCACCTCTAAGCTTCCTCTAAATGAAGGATTTGAAAGCAATATTAAGTACAACAGCAATTCCTGGGTTTTTTTTTAGTTTCTAGGTACACATACATACTTCTCAGAGAATGAGCAGCCAGGGTTTATGACAAGTGTTCTCCCTTTAGGAGTGGCTGCATGATCACTTTCCCACAATAGGAACTGGAAAGAACTAGTATCCATAATTCAATTGCAATATGCAGAGCTCACAAACTGCTTGGTGTAAATCACAGATGAAGAACATCAAAGGGTTCCACAGACACTGTGTAAGACCTAGCTGAACCTACTTTGAACATGGCCAAGTAATATTCCAATTGGATAGAATCACAGAAGGGACCTTTCAAGGTCTCCTAGTCCAACCCCCCTGCAAGTGAGCAGGGACATCTTTAGATTGTGTTGCTCAGAACCCCATCTGATAATCTCCTGTGAGAAGAACTGAACCTGATATTTTTTTCTCCAAAAGTAGCACAGGGGACTTCACAGGTTTAGAAATCAAAGTATTAAGTCACCTTTTTATTTAACCCATGCATCTGAACATCTCACAAAAACTTCTACATCCTTGCTGGGAGCCTCAGATACAGAAAAGGACATAAAAAATAAAAATATATACACAGGTTTCCAGTTTTAATTAAACCAGTGTTTGAATGTAAAGCCACATGACCATGATAGAGTCTGGCAGAAGAGATACAGAAAAGGACATAAAAAAATATATACAGAGGTTTCCAGTTTTAATTAAACCAGTATTTGAATGTAAAGACACATGACCATGATAGAGTCTGGCAGAAAGCAGATGAGAGGATCCTGTTTTGCCAGTCCAGCTTGACAGGACTACATCTGCAATAGTGTATTCAAGAAATGTTTCACATTTCCAAACATTCCTAAGGCAGCTGGGAATAAATGATATTTTAAAAACAAAACAACAGAAACATCCCCACACCACCACCACTTTCAAACCTCTCAACATGAGGGTTGAGCCTGTATTTAATAACTGAACCTGGAGGTCATACAAACATACATGTCCCACTATCTTGGGCTGAAAAACAACCCACAGGATTTCTTCCTGAAATCCAGGTTTTCACAGAGCAACCTGTGCATGAAAAGTACCTGCTGTGCTGCTATGGAATCAAATGTTTCTCAGCATGCTGCTAAAGAAGATGAAGGAATATGCAACCATTATATTCATCATTCTCTTACTTCACTGTATCCCCTGCTATTCTCTTGACTTGTCTCAGCTACCCACTGGAGCCTTCACACCATGAGCTAACTCCTTCCAAAAAAAACCCTGATTTTTGTAAAATCACAGAATCATTTAGGTCAGAAAGGACCTTTAAAATCATCAAGCCTAACCATTAAGCTAACAATGCCAAGTCCACCACTAAACCATCTCCTGAAGTGCCACATCTACACGTCTTTTAAATACCTCCAGGGATGGTGACTCCACCACTTCCCTGGGCAGTGCTTAACAATCCTTTCAATGAATAAATTTTTCTTAATATCCAACCTAAACCTCTCCTGGTGCAACTTGAAGCTAACCCCCACCTGGCTACAACCTCCTTTCAGGTAGTTGTAGAGAGCAAGGAGGTCTCCCCTGAGCCTCCTTTTCTCCAGGCTAAACATCCCCAGTTCCTTCAGCCACATTTCATAGGCCTTGATCTCATTTGCTTGTGTCTAATCCATCTGCTAATCCAACCAATCTGTGTAATCAATCTGCTTTTAAGCATCACTGCCCTCAAAATATTAGGAAATTATAAATATCAACTAGCTGTGATCTTGTGAAGAGCATCACTGTTCCAAATCTCAGCAAGCTCAAGGCAGACAGACATCCTTACCTGTTGCTCTGCTTCTTTCAGCATTGCTTCTTTCTCCTTCACCCTCTGCACAAACTGCTGTCTCATCTCCTCCTCTTTTCTTTGCAGTTCAAGGTACAGCTCGTGCCTCTTTGCCTCATAGGCTTCCTGTAGACTGAAGTCCAAAAATGTGAGCAAGCCCCCAGCATGCTGCTTTATTCTATGTGGAAAACCAACAATCTGGAACATTATTTAAACAATTAATATTCATCTGAAATAGTCATTTCTACAGCTACTCCCACAAAAATTCATAAACAAACCTAACCAGAAGCAAGCATTTTTTTTTTAATTTTTATTTAAGTAAACAACCCTGAGTAAAATTATTTATGCTAACAGCTCCTGGGCACTTTACATTTCAAAGTAAACACAGCCCTTTAGGAATCTCATATTCTAAAAGACCTGAGTTACAGTTTTCTGCCTCCAACACACATAATTTTTTTAAGTTACTTATTTATAAGACACCAAAATTGCCAGAAAAATCTCCCAAAATTTCTGCACTCTGAAACCTCTGTCTTAAAATAGAACATTACAAAAACAATGCCTCTGCAGCACTAACATGACTAATAAATTGATTATTCCTACATGAGAAAGAAACAGACTTTCATAATATCTGCCACTCTCTTTATGTAATGTTAAAGCTTAAATATAGCAAAGTTACATTAATATAGAATAAAGAGAATTTCCTAAGCAGTTCAGCATCCAAAAGATAGGGTTACTTTCCAACATGCACCAGTCAAAATCTCAGGACTGCTTGTTTTTTCCTGAATCCTCTCTCCCAGAAGCTAATATACTGCATACATCCCACAATCATAGTTGAATTTATATAGGAGGTGCAAATCAGTTCAGATCACTGAGCAAAGATTTGGCAACAGAACAAAACAGCAAATAATTAAAAATTTTAAAGAACTTTTAAATAAATGCCTTGCCACCCCCTCCCTTTTTTTTTTCCAAAAAAAGTTACTCTGCTAGACATTTCAGAACATAAGATTTTTTTTTTTTAACTTCCAAACAACAAGGACTTGAAACAGAGAAATGTATTTTATATCAAAGTATATCCTAGCAAATTAAAAGCTGCTGGTAATTGATACATGTTCTACTAGAGGTTTGACATTTGACAATATCTTGTAGGATATAAGGCTTGTGAATGGATCAAAACATGGATTATCTTCTAGCTCTTTATTCTGGGGCTATTCTCCTATATTCTGACACTTGCCAAGTGCTGACTAGTCAGCCCCCACTCCATGAGTTGCTGTCCTTTGTCAGCTATCTCATACCTTCCACTCTGATGTAAATATATCAAATTTTAAAATTTTCTTTACATTTTTAATGCACATACACACCTTGTACCAGTCTTTAAGTCTCATCTTTTACTGTTTCTATTGAAACAGTTTAAAAATGCAAAGGCTTGCCAAAAAAAGGACACATAAAAACTTAGTTATTTACAGCAACAGTAAGCTTGAACAGCTCTCTTCTATATTTAAATTGATTACATTTAAACTGGGCAGTTTCCCAACCCTGAAGTTTCCTATTTGTATTCAAAACATACTCTAAGGGGAGAGAAGAGTTATCTTTAAATTGCACATGCAGAATTAATGTTTGTCAGATCAAGCTCAGATCACTTCTATTCTATTTTACTGCAGCAATACATTGCAGCAAAACAAATTCAGACCAACAAGCTTCTGAATTTTCAGGGTTTATGTATCAGCTGTGAAGTCACTTCAGCCATCCTGACGTATCTACCATGTGAAACAAGGGCATGGTTTTCACACAGGTACATTAAATCACACAATCTAAGTTTAGACAGCATATGCAACAACAATAAAGCTACAGCACAGGTTTTTCAAGTGTTAGCAGTCTCAGCACACACAGTTTGGGGCCCTGTGGCAGTTCTGCCAGCTAACATCCTGCCTTTGGCTTCAATAAAGCCACCAGAGCAAGTGCCAGGCTAAGGAACCTGCTCCAGTCACCCCTTCATTTCACCATGGGGACATCTCTAGACTCAACCCAAGCTAGTATATCAGGTAAAAGCAATTTTGACTTGAAATTAGTAAAATATTAACTGTGAAGATGCTGGATTTACCAAGCAGCCAAATTACATCTATTATTAAATCTTCCCTCTCCCTGGACTGAATTGTTCTGGAAACCACAAAGACAAAATTAAACCAAACTTTCCTCTTCTGTGTTTGGCATATCAGCAACATAATCATCCAAACAGTCTCCAGTTTTAGGAGGTTTGGGGAGAAGCAGAAAATAGTTCACCAGATCTTAAACCAATCCTTTCAACATTACTGCATCCACTGCTTCTCATATCTACCTTCCTACAGAAGAGCTGCTATGACACACAGTTTTTCTGTCTGCATAAGACTTAGAACATGGAAGCCTAAACACAAAGATGCAAATCAAACATGTTATGTTCATAAAAAGAGACTCTGGTTGAAGGGAATTCAACTATCAGTGGAACACAACGTTTATGTGCTTTGAACACCACAGATATTTACATAATATCTTACAGTTTGTTCATTTAAATTGAAAAAGGCTTTCAAATTTGAAAACTACACTTGTAACTTTGCATAACTTTTGACTATCAATTAAGGTAAATCAGAAAAACAAAAAAATTTAACAGTAGTGGCACATATTTTTAGCATTGTCCCTTGACTCAGTGGACTACCTAACGTGATATTTAGCAACACAAAGGATGTGGTAGATCTAAGTTATTACCATTTTCCCAGTGGAGACATGAAAAAAAATGGTATTTTGGATGCAGTTCAGTCTTAACATGAGGTTAAAGTATTTAGCTCAAATGCAAAGGTCTGCAGTTGGTCAGATGAACTCCATTCCCAAGTGGCTTTCTAAGGAAGGAGTCTAACAGGCTTTCAGCTATGAGGTTTCTTCCTTTAGAAAAGACAACTAGAGTTATATCAACCTTCCTCTACATGTAAACTTACATTACCAAATCCCTCCTGGTTTTCTGTCATCATCTCCTAAAAAAGACTGAAAAATAAACAGTTTTTTTCTTTAAGAACTGCAAAGTCTGAATATCCCAGTTTCTGGCAGGAATAAAGCATGGAATATACGATTGCTCACAAGACATCTATGTAACAATTGTTTACCTGCAATTATGATGAAGAACAAATTGTAATTATGACCACAGAGAAACAAGACAATTAACAACATCAGAGAATCCAAATATGCAAGCACACAGCCTGAATATCACTCTTTGGCTTTTTTTCAACAGCCCCTTGCCTTTTAGTTTTCTTCTTTCAAAAGAAGAGTGTCCCCTTAAGCAACATCACTCAGATTGAAAAATGAGCTTACAAAATGTCCAACTTCAAAACAGTGGTCATCTCCTCCTTCCTTGTAAGCATCTAAGCTGAGTTATACTTAGAGGTTTGGTTGGTTGGAAGCACTCTTCACATCTAGATTTCTGTTTTCAACTTTCTTCAATTTTTCCCTTCAGGACATCTCAACCATTATCTCTTGTTGAGGCTGACCTGAAACTAGGAATTCATGTTCCTAATGGACATAATTAGGCCATCAAAAAGGCAAGACTAGACCATCCACACCAGAAAAGGTCTGTCTTTACTTTTCAACACGAAAGAATGCAAATACTAATTTTAAGTCTTAAAAAATTAACAATACAAGCATTTCCTGGATTTTACATTCAACAACACTGCTTCAGATGCATAAACCATCCCCCCAAATACTCTGCTACCCGTTGACTTCATTACATAAATTTTGGCATAACAGGTTTTCAAAGCCCACTCCTGATTGGCTGCTTTGCAGGGCTTGGAAACCAAATTTTACCTATATGACTAATTTTAGCCTTAGACAGCATTCCATTTATTCTCTGAAGCACCACATGGTGGATTCTTCATTTTTAAAGTGGTTTACCACGTGTTATATTTTAATCTGATATGGTACATCCCTGACTGTAATTCTCATTGGAATAATACCCCACTATGAGACTGAAGTCTTCATCAAAAACTTTTATCTATTGTTTTTGCAAGGTATATGAACAAGATTAAGTAAGTTCCCAATTCCCCACGAAAGTTATGCTAATTATTGTTATCCAATTAAAATTATAGTAATAAATAATTAATACAATTATATAATTCATTATATTAATAGAATGTTTTTACACATAGATGAGAAAGTCACTTCAGGCTACTAGATGTAAATATAATTTTCCACTGTGTGCTGAAACCAGCTCTATGTCTTCCATTAAAGAAAATAAAGTTTCCCAACACCTTTTTTCCCATGGAAGAGTGAAAACATTGACAGATGCCTGTGCACCACCTAGCTCACAAGGCTGCTGAAAATCAAACAATTACTGGTTTTGCTCTGCAGTGGTAAACAATTTTGGATTAATTAACTACTGTTGGACTTTTAAATTCAAGAGAGAGGTAGAGGAACTTCACAGGCAGCTTTTTCATGACATGTGAAAAGGGCAGGGCATCTTAGCTACTCAAGTGTCAATCTTCACATGCTACAAACCTCAGTGCTGTAAAATCAGCCAATTATTCAAGTCTAGCAGAAATTGTCTAAATTGACATAAAATAAACCAATTCAGATTACCAAATTTCAGTATGTAGACATGACAGACACAAAATATGACTTCTCAACATGTATTTTGAACATTATTTAAACAAGTAGCAAGAAATTTTAATCATCAGTCATATACAACTATGCAATTTAATTTTATTTTAGAACTATAGCTCTTAGCTGTGTATATATTGTAAACATCTTCAAGTGTAAAAAGGATGACAAGTTAATAACACATTTTTGCCTAGAAAAACAGGGTAGTCCCTATTCTGAAAGATATTGAAATTGAAAAGTCAGGCAAATGGGAAGCACTGAACTTGCTCTATGGAAACAGACATCATCTGTCACACTTCTGAGGATGACTTTTATCATCTCCTCAGCAGCTTCACAAAACACCTTATGGGTAAGGCTACATTAGTCTTATAATTTTTATAATTTAACTCCTATATCAAGCTGGCTGTACATTGTGAAATTCAAGTTCAAAAGAGACAAAAGTACTTCAATCAATATTACAATGAACAAGGCTCTAAAATAAGCTTTCCCTAGACAAAGATAGCAAGGTATCATTTGTTAATGTATGTTCTTAAACTCAAACCTAAACCAAGTTAGAAGTTTATGCTCAGTTTCAGTTGGGCTTAAACCTTATTTTACCTTTGGTTCTCTATTTATGAAAGGAATTTATTCCTTTCTTATTAAGTCAAGAGAAACGTCAAGGCACCGTTGTGATTCATGGTCAGCTCAAGATCATCTAAATGAGCTAATCCTTAAATGTGCTTTGACATTAAGACTTCAGAAAGAAGTGCCTGCATCCAGAACCTGCCTTGGCCACACTAGTCTTATTGAACTATTATTGTTTGAACAATGTATAAATTTAAACCACTAAAAACTCCTACTGGTAAGAAAACCATTTAGAAGTACTTTACTTTTACTGGAACAGAATGGGCAAAGACAGTCTGATTGCTAAGTAAAACAAGCAGCAAACAAACCAGTTGGTTCAAAGCACTAGAAACTGTTTTTAATGAAAAGCTGTATTTTGTTTTCATGTCTGGCTTAAGTTGATATTTCCCACCATGACTCTGTAATAATGGCACATGGCTAAACCAGGAAGGCTGAACAACTCCTGAAGCATCTGTTCTTCCCCATCAGCACTCTGACCACTCAAAATACAGTCCCATGCATAAAATGACCCAAGGAAGTTGAGAGATGGAGAGGGAGAGGACAGAATTGGAAACAGATGATTAAACAAATGGCATATATAAATATATATATACACACATACACCTCCTGCAGAAAGCAGCTTTACTATATGAAACAAGCACCTCCAAATGTCTCCTTAACTTTCCTTTGGAATGCTCTACTGTCTTCCTACCTTCTAGCAAGAGATTTTTTGACCTGAACAGGCCAGACATTTGTTATTTTGGCAGATCATGTGGGAAGCCAACAGCCTAACCAAGGATTTTGTAAAAGTTTTTGCTTGAGTTCCTTCTAATCTTTAAGTCCAACCAAACCATTGCACAGCTTCAGACATTATTAAGAGAGAAAGTGAAATAGCATGCTAATATTTAATGAAAACAATTTAAAAGGCATAAAGTGCATGCACCTGAAGAAAACTGACATTCTGCATGGCAGAAATTAAAATCTCCAGGTTTATTCTAAAAGAGAGAGGTTTCAGGAATACAACAGGCTTGTGTGCCTTTAAACCAATGCTCATATAATCCCATGAACTCTGCCATGGAGATAACAATGAACAGCTACATACTTACTCTGATTAAAAACCAATTCTTTCTGTCCTAGAAACTATTCTGTGTATGAACCCTGCTCCGTATGGGGTTGAGACACTCAGATGTGTGAATGGATGCTGAAAACATGTGTTGCAGATGAAGTGCTTTACCTGAGGGGTTTGTTCTCAGGGGTGATGTCCCTGAAGCCCATCTCCTCCAGCCTGCAGCGCCTGTACAGCTCATAGTGTCGTGCATGAGTCTGCTCTCTTAAATCTTCCAGATTTGTGCAAAGCAGCATCTCACGAAGCTTTTTAAAGTCACAGTGGTTCTCGTTTTCAACTAGTTAAAAGAGAAAGATTTTGTTATGCACAAGTAGCAAAATTGTCCAAATAAATTTGAAACAGTGTTGAGATTGCTTAGTAATTATACTTCCAGGAAAAGGCATTGTGTTGCTTATTATACTTCTTAGAATTTCTAATGTGCACATTGAAGCACTGACAGTAAGTACTGCTGATATGTTCCAACATCTCCTCATGACTTGTTCAACTTGAAAAATTATAAATTCTCTCTTTTTTTCCCCCCTCTTCATAGAATCATAGAATCATAGGGGCTGGAAGGGACCTCGAAAGATCATCTAGTCCAACCCCCCTGCCTTCTTTACTAGCAATCATAAAACTTTGAAAATGGGCAGTGTTGGAGGCACTGCCACAATGCTAGCCTGCCTAAATATTACATCATCTCACAGCTTGATTCCAGGGCTGCATCAGTGCTGATGAAACTGATAGTTGGTGCACAACTCAAGTGTTAACTGCTAAACTACTGAAGCTATTGATTTAAAATACAATTCCAAATAGCATCTGTGGATAATACCAGCCCCCTTTTGAGCATTGGTGAATTTTATACTTCCAACAACAGCAAAAATCTCATAAACATACCTCTGAGAATTCATTTACCTTGTACAATGCCCCAAGGGTACTGACGAGCTCTCACTGTTTTGTTTCCAATTTTCACCTCTTTTGTACTTCCCACTACAGCAAATGGCAAATGCCCCTGTAAGAGTCACACCAATACCCATCAGTATTCCTGTGTCAGAACTGAAAAGCAAACTCTTCAGAAGTAAATTAGAGGGGAAAAAAAAACATCATTTCAGGAAAAACAAACAAGCAGTTTCAAATTAAAAACCACTTTGAAGACATCAACAGCTAGTCAAACTACTGATCCAAAAGTCAAGGTACAAGAAGAACACTGGGAGGAGTGGCTGATAGAACAGATCAGTGTGCTGCCCAATTAGAGGAGCCTAGACAGGCTGGAGAAATGGGCCAAAAAAAGCAGGAAGCTCAAGAAGTTCAAATGAGAGGAATGGCAAGTCCCACATGTCAGGAGGAACCCTGTGCTCCAGTACATGCTGGGGGAAAGGCACTCTGCAGAAAAAGACGTGGGGCTCCTGGTGGACAACAGGTTGGACCTGATTCAGCAGGTTTGTCCTGGTGGCAAAGGCAGCCCAACTACATCCTGAGCTGCACTAGTGGAAGAGTTATCAGAAGCAAAGAGAAAGGTGCTCTAGAACACATCCCTTTGATTCACAGTCAGCCAGAGTTCCTAACACCAGCAACAGCCATGAGATGATCACAGGTTTGAACCCCAGGTACAGTTACTGCTCTGGGCTTGGCCAGATGGCCAGAAGCAAAGGCTGGGTACTGACTGTGTGCTGACCCACATCAACTGACCATTAAAAAAGGGCCAGAAGCAAAGGCTGGGTACTGTGGGCTGACCCACATCAACTGACCATTAAAAACAAAACAGGAAAAAAAACATTAACTGGGAAACCTTACAGCAGCCTTCCAGGACTTAAAGAGGGCCCACAGGAAAGATGGGGAGGGACTATTATCAAGTGTAGTGATCACTAGCAGAGCAAGAAAGGGATAAGTAACAGACCACAACCTTCCCCCACAGCAGAAGGGACTGCTACTGAATGACATCCTCACTCCCTGGCACAACTGACAGAGGCTGCAAGGACTGCAGAGTCTTCCTCCCTACTTCCAAACCCCACTACATGCAAATGCACGTTCATGTGCATCTACAGACATGTGCACAAGAACAGCAAATACAGGCAGTGTGCTCAAAGCAAAGACTTCTAGCTCCACAAGCTCAGCTGATCCTGGCAGATACTCCTGGGAGGATCTGAAAGACAACAGCAAAAAAGCCAGAATTATATCTGACTTTTAATGTCCAGAGAATATCTGTCCTCATTTCAAATCAAAGTACTAAACAAAAGGAAAAAGCAGATGGAAGACTTGCTACCACAAGGACTAAAGAAAACTGCAGTAATGAGGCATTTGTGCATCTTCCCAAACAGATGAAAGGTTGCTGAGGAAAAGAGTGAAGTCAAACTGTCCATCTATGTTAGTAATTATATATTAATTACTCAGAAAAGAAACAAAGTATTTATGAGTGAGAATTTCTTTTTCATTGCTGAGCCAGAAAAGAAAAAAGTCTCCTGTAACAAATGGTACCAACAGCACAGGGACAGGAAAACTTGTGAGTATGGATTAAAAAACCCAAGCATACAAGTTTTAAGAAGAAAGAAAAATAAATTTACAAGCCTGAAGACAGTGGTGAAAGAGCAGACATGAATCAGCATTAGAGAGCAATGCTGCAGTACTGAAATAACAATGTTTTTGTCATTTACTTACATTCATGATGGAATTAATTTCAGAAACGGTTTCATCATCAGTGGGAAACTGGTATATCTGGACACCATTACTGACTAATTCACTCATGATTTTGTTCTTGAAATTCTGTAGTTCAGTTTTAGAAATGCCATCTGCTTTGCCTATAATTGGTATAATGTTCACCTATTAATGATATAAATGATATAAAAGTGTTTAAGGACTTCAGTTTTGAGGTGACAGCTTTTAACAATGAAGCTGTTTGGTGACAAGCTCTTTAAAACTTCTCTCACAGTCCCAACTTTTCCATCAATTGATATCCAAGCTTCACATACGATGAAAAATACATTCACTGGCATCACTTAACAAAACAATAGGAGATTATTTAATATACTCCCTCAGAATTAATTGATTCTGAGACAAGAATAAGAAAGGAGTTATCACACAGTGAAGCACTCAAAAGAACAGCAACACCTACTTACTAACTAAATAACATTAAGTATTTCTATCTCTGCTTAAAAAAAGAGATTGTTTTAGTTTAAAGCACCAGGGTTTGGATGTTAGATGAAAGTTGACAGTTTAAATACACAAAGAAAAGGAAGCTGGCTACCAAACCCTGCCTACCCCCCAGCCTCTTCCTTCAGCACCTTTCAGCCACAGCATCTTGTTCACCTCACCCCAGCAGCAAAGTTTCTCAAGTATCTCCCACAAGCAGAGGAATGACAAAGACTGAAGAATTTGGCTTAGCAGTCGTTGCACTAAGTAGAACTGAATTTCCAGTTCTGAATAATAAGAAAAACTGCCCCATTTCCTAGAACAGTTATGTCACTAACTTAGAAAGCTAGTAGATGCCAAATTTTTCTCAAAAAATACTATCAACATTCCCAAAATAGGCATTTTTTTTCAGAACTAGAGAAAATTAATGCCAACCTCCACATATTTTGGAAGAACGATACAAATTCTTCCAGATTTCATAAGATGAGAGTTTTGCTGAGTTCCTTGATCACAGATGCAAAAAAGGAGGAAGAAAAATAAAAAGAAAAAAACCTCGCTCACATTCTTTTTATTCTCCTGAATATTTTGTCTGAATGGAAATGCCTAAGCAGCAAATCTCAGGAATGGATTCAAAACGGATGATTTTAAAATAGGTCTTGTGTTTTAAGCAACATCTCCAACTGAAAAAAACCATGCCAACTCCAAAGTATGACTTCTAAGATTAGTTGATGATAGTCCTTAATTACATACCATATACAACCCAAGCATGTACAAGGTAAAATATCTAAAATCAAATAAAATGCTGTAATATTTTTTTAATATAACTGAGTTAATTAAGGGTTCCATAAACTACCTATTACAGCTAGAAGCAATTTACAGCTTCAATCAAATTAGCTGATGGATATCAATCTAAGTTTTCTGCCATATACCTTTAAAAATGGATGGAGCACAGAGTCTTCACAATTAAGTTAACTTTTATTCTGTCTTTTCAACATGACAAGCACTAGTTAATTAAGAGACAATTTCTTAGATAATGAATAGCAAAGAAAGACTACTGAGGAGACCAGTAACAAAAGAAAAGCAAAACCTCTAGAAAGTACAGTAATCTCTAACTCTAGTATCTCTAGTACCCTCTGTGATTACAGCTATCAACCACTGCATTAAAATTTAAAAGCAAAACTACTCTAGCTTTCAACAAGCAACAAAGAAAAATTATCTTTACTTAATCTGTTAAGCAAAATTAATTTCTGCTTGGAGCATCTAAGGTTTACTTGAACACTAGTATCTCAATACTTTCATCCCAGAACAGCAAAACCAGTAAGTGAAAGCCCACAATTTGTAGTCACAAGAGACTTAAACTGTATTTGGACTTTTCCCAGGCACATTATGCCCCTGTTTGCTGGCACCAAATTCAGCCCCCTGATCATCCTTCTGCCTGAAATGCAAAGTGCCACTCCCCCCCTCAATCAGAAAACATCCTATTACTCTACATTGACATTTTCATTTAACACCTTACATTAGTGTCAAAACATCTGTTGCTCCTTCATGCTATAGAGGAAGGAAAAAAAATGCATATACTTGAAATTATTATTGGTTGATAACTTGCAGGCTGGTTTACCTGTGAATCAGTACAAAAATTTCCAAATATTTTTTCTGAAGCAAATTCAAACCCCACAAGGCAACTTCATTTCCTCACTTAACAATACTCTCTATATAATTCTGCAAGAATGACTTAAAAATACTGATAAAGATATCAATATATTTGCTGGAAAAGCCCAAGTTCTGAACTGCCACTAGGAAAATGCAGTACTAAAAGCATCATGTGTTCCACAATAAGATGGAAACCAAACTACAGTTGAAGTATATACCTTTTTTTGTGTATACATTTACTTCTGTAGTAGGATCAGAAAGCAGAATCCATCACAAAGGGGTAAACCAACACAGTTATATGCCTTTCATGTTCTCTCAGAGCCCAAGCAGAACCAAAAATGTTTAGAGTAGGTAACTAGAAGCTAAAATTCCCCAAAGCAGAATCACTTGTGGTCTATCCTGATAGAAAAAAATCTTTTCTAAGGATGCTGAGACTCATGGATCTGTTTCTTTTTGAAGAAATACTGTTTTAAAGGGAGTTCAGTAAAGAGAGGGGACAAGCTAGAAACCAAATATTTTTGTGGTTTGAGACAGTCTCCAACTTTGAAACTCAAAGTACAACAGTATGCTACATGAAACTGTCCCATTTTTTAGTATCAAGGCTCTTCCACCCTCACCAGATATTACAGAGTAGTCTCAAAAATATTTTAATCTGGCATAAACTAACACCACAGCAGAAAGTGACCTCTCTTCTCCTACCTGTGTCACACCATACCTCCCCTGTATTACAGAGTAGTCTCACAAATATTTTAATCTGGCATAAACACCACAGCAGAAAGTGACCCTTCTCTCCCCTACCTGTGTCACACCATACCTCCCCTCACTTGCTCTGTGCTATTGAGAAAGTTCAAAATGGAAAATACACCCACAAACAAAATGCCAAAAATACCAAATGTGCTCATCTATCACCAACATGGAACAGGCAGCTGGTCTGATCCCTGTTATCCTGAAGAAACATCTCACCAGTAAGAAAATGCAGAAAGAAAATTTCGCAGGAGAGGCTCTAGTAAAGCATAAAGGACCAGAGGAACAGCAAATGCCTTCACATTTTCAAATTCCTCAGAATTTCAACAAATTAAACCCAAATGATGTAAGGTTCTTTACAATGGGCTAAACACTCTGGCTTCACCCAGTTCACACCACCCCATTACAGGAAGAAACTGAAGAATTTTGAAAGTGCACATAATCACACTAGAATGTGTTATTTTAAAGCTTTCAAAATCAATCAAGATGTGAAGTTTAAAACACTAGAGCAGCCTATCTTAGAAAAAGCCCTGCTGGCAGTGTTCTGCTCGTGGCACTGGCTTCCTCAGCTATCTATAGCAGAGATCTCCACAGTGCTATATACATCTTTTTACATGCCAGCTTTACAGCAGACCCAAAACTCCATAGTGAGCTAGAAACAAGCTTAATTAGAAATGTTATGGCACTGATGGAGGGTACTTTATCCAATAAGATCTTAACAGCTTGTTAAAAGTTGGTGTTGGTTCTAATTAAAAAAAAAAATAAAATACTTTTCATCATTCTTGTTTTTTCAGCATTCTTAACAGATGTCTGTCTGTCTCTTTTTGTTCTGTAAATAAACAGGTGATGAACTGCAAGCTACTTCTGGAACCAGTTTATTCTGAACTTAAGCTACACCAATACTAAAACATCCCAAAACCAAAAACATAGATATAGAACTGAAAGTTGGTAGACAATCTAAAAGCTGCAAGATGCTTCAGAAAATAAGACAAATTAGAACTGTTTCAAAGTCTTACCTTGCTGTCTAGGCTTTTCATGGTTAACAAATCTAGGGGTTTGAGGGAATGGCCTGTAGGTGAAATGAAATAGATGCAGACATGGATGCGAGTATCATGGTAGGTAAATAAAGAACGGTGAATTTTCAGTTCTTCCTGGAGATAGGCTTCAAATTGTGCATCTACATAATCCACTATTGGCTGATAGCTGTAAAAAATAAAATTTAACAACCAGAGGTTAGTTACTCCTAAGCAGAGCCAGACCAAGAAAGGAATTCCTCTTGTATTGCTTTGTGGATTTTTGCTTTGCTTGTCAAAAGGCTGCTCAAGTATCTACCCAGTACAGCAAAAAATTATATGTTCAGAGAAATCTTAGCTTCTGAAAGGTTACTCAAAAAAAGAATAACACAGATAAAACATTTCCTAGCTACTATTAGTGAAAAAAAAAAACTACATAAATTCAGTTAGGATTATAACCGAGCTTCCCAAGTGATGTTTTAGAAATTTTTGCAATCAAGTGTGCAACTGCAGAGCTCTTAGATACATGGAAGATAAAAGAAACTCTTAGACAGAAGAAAAGAAAAGAAAGAACATGCAATTACCAGCACCAAGAAATAGGACCTCCTTTATCTTCTGAAGATGAAGTACTGTACATGAGTTAGCTCTTAAACGATAGACAAAAATCAAAAAGGAGGAATGTAAGAGAATTTAAACCTGATTTGCAGTAAATACAGTTTAAGTACAGTTTAAGTACACTTTTCCCTACTCAAAGCCAGATTATAATCTGTTTTCTAAAATAAAGTGTTGCTAGATGTACAAGTAGCATGCCCTTACATTTCTGCTGCTACACAAAAGCTGGAAGACAGATCAAATGCTATCAAAATTCAGTAGTTGTTACATACAGAATTAAAAGGAGGACTAAAAAGCACAATGGAGGACTACACCACACATTAAAACCTCTAATACCTATACTAATATCTGTTTGAATCTCATTCATCCAAGTCACTAGCAGCAGCTATTTCCCAGTCATATTACAAGCCACAACTCTCATGATAATATGACTCTCTAACCTTCATTTATAATTACCACCATTTAGGTACTCATATAGCACAAAGGACTGCTAAAATTCTTCACAATTAAGGTGAAAGAAACAAAATCTGCTGAGAGACAGTTAAATATTTTAAAAACTTCAATTCATAACTGCAGAGATTCAAAGGAATCATGAAAGACACTAGCATGGTACCTCTACATCTTCTCATCAAGCTGTCCAATATAAAACCCAAAGGTCTTCAGTAATCCACATGATGTTCCTTCCAGTTTAAGGTCTTCAACAGGTTCCAAATTGTTAAAAACTCTTTAGATCTAATCTATATAACCTACAGTACCTTCTAACATATTCAATTGTTCCAAAAGTCTCCCGTGGAGCTTCCCCCTGCTTTCCTCTACCCCAAAAGAAACTCTAGCTACTATCACACAGTTTATTTACACACATTTACAAAAGAGTCTACCATAAAGAAAGGGGCAGAGTTCATCTGATTTCTCAAACCATTTCCCAAAGGAGAATAAAATTACATTTACCTTGGTACACAGAGTTAACCAAATATTTGGAGCCTATGCAAGACAAATGCTACAAAGCCCACAGAAAAATCAAATTGCAATTGAACACCAAAACTTCTGCACACCACAGGAACAAGAGGGCACGTACCTATCTTCCCTGTTTATCTGGTCACCAAATCCCACTGTATTTACAACAGTCAGCTTCAAAAGAACATTACTTTCCTGGAGTTCATAAGTCTGGGCTCTAAGCCGTACACTTGGCAGAAAATGCGTTGACACAGGGTCATCAAAGTTGGTGTTAAACAAACTGTTTATCAAGGCTGATTTCCCACTTCCAGTTTCCCCTAAAGTTAAACAGAAAGGTTGAGGAAGACATTTTTAACATGAAATAAATACCTGTTAAACACAGAAAGTGTCATCACAGCAACTCAACAAAATTACACAAAAGCTTGTCAACTGAGTTCTCTAAGCAAAAGGGTTGCTTACATTTCTTTTTCATAATGAGCACTAAATATCTTTTAGTTAATGTTTTCTTCCTACAGATAAGAGAAAGTTACCTGCTAATGAGTAATAAGCAGAACAGTTGACACTCTGGTCTCTTTAATAGTGTCAATTAATTTCTTCCAGCTTTAAAAAAAGCTAAGTGACTGTGAAATCACAGGGTTCAACAGAGGGCTTTTTATGAATAAGGGTTAAAAACTACAGCAAATATTTGATAAGTACAGAAATATTTCAGTATTTCTGTAATCCAACCTTTTAATTTTAAGATTTTTTGATCTGAAGCTCTTTGTTACAGTAAAAATATAGCATAGCCCAGTTTACCCAAAACAATCCAAGAAGCTGCCGATAAATCAATAACTGGATGGCATCCATTTTCAATATATTTGGTCTCCACATTATTTATGAAAATGCAAAATATAAAAATAAAAAGTATGGATACAAATAAGGAAAGCTAAGAGAAAGGGTGGAATTATAGTTCATGGTTTACACTAAAAAAGGAGTTTAACATTGTAACTGGATATAAATTCCCACCACTTCCTAAGGACAGGTATACTCCTAGAGCCTTAAACTACCCACATACTACTTACCAATGCAGAGAATGTTGAAGCAGAAGCCCTGCTTGATGGATTTTTTAACCAGCTGATCAGGTAAACTACCAAACCCAACGTGCCCAGACAAGGATAACATTCGATAGCCATCATTTTGCTAAAGAAAAATCATTTTAAAATATGTTAGTGACGTGAGTTGCAAAGCAATTAGCAATGACAGACAACAAAGGGGCTCTGTTGGTAAGCTACAACATATTCCTTATGATTTACATAAAACTAAGAAAAGCAAGAGTCTGAAAAATGATCTGTCAAATCAACTTTATTCCATCATTTGAGAAAACAGCCAAATTTACTCTACAGAACTATTTGCAGGCTCAAAGTGAAGTCTGAACTGTAAATAAATAAATCACAGTTGTTTACTCTTAGCAATGAAGAAAAATAATATTAAAAACCAATTTAGCAGGCAGAATTGAAAAGAGTGACCATAACCACAGAGAGGTCTATGTTACCAATTAGAACTTGTTCCAAGTAGCTGGAATGGAAATTGTTATTTATGTAAAATAATATATTATCTACACACCAGAACTGTAACAGATAATATATATATATATTAGAAATGTCTAGAGGTGCACATTCATTTTCAAATGTCAGTTAGCAATCCAGCATCATGACATCAAGGCAATGAGCATCCTGAAAATGCATAAGCCTAAAGAGAATTATCCTGGTTCATACAAATGAACTGTGTATTTAAAACAAACATTCCATATCAAAAGTGTAAACAGTGATGAGTCCATCCTATTCTTTCTTTTATATTTCAAATCCACATGGAATTAGAAACCATTCCTGGATCCTGGGAATATGTATGCAGCCAAATCTTTTATATACCACTTAGAAGCCCCTAAAAGTGACACTTTTAAAAACAGGTATCCATAGGAAGTTATGAAATTCTTGTAGCTAAAAGGCTATGGGCATTCCTCACATCAAAAACTCATCTTCGGCTTGTTTTGTACAGGACTTCTTATGTGGGACTACAGACTGCAATAACTCTCATTTTACACTATTTTATTCAGGTAATTCAATTTTATACTCATATAATGAGAAAAAAAAAATGTGTGAACAATTTAAAGCAATATGTATGCAGCCAAATCTTTTATTTACCACTTAGAAGCCCCTAAAAGCAACACTTTTAAAAACAGGTACCCATAGGAAGCTATGAAATTCTTGCAGCTGAAAGGCTATGGACATTCCTCACATCAAAAACTCATCCTCGGCTTGTTTTGTACAGGACTTCTTGTGTGGGACTACAGACTGCAATAATCTCATTTTACACTATTTTATTCAGGTAATTCAATTTTATACTCATATAATGAGAAAAAAAAAATGTGTGAACAATTTAAAGAGAAAATACACCATCTTAGAGTTACAGAATAAAAAAAATGTGAATTCAAAGTGTGTCTGAAAGAGAAATTTCTCAAGGTATTCTACCACATGGAAATTATTATTAAAAAGGGCTGGGAAACACTGAAAACCATCAGTATCCTGTTCACTTAAAGCCACACGTATCTGAGTGGCAGCACATCCAGCAGCTATCATCACACAGTCGATACTCAAATCTCCTCTGTCACTACCAGAGCAAGACAATTCCCCTAAAACAAACCACGAAGCCTCCACACCAGAAGCCAGCACAAGAGGCTGAGCACAACCACAGCAGGGAAACCCTCCATCTTCATGTCACCAGCCTCAATCCACACCGTGCCAGGCTTCCCCCAAAATCCCTGCAGAGCCACTTGGTACTTTCAAAGAAATAAATGGAGCAGAAGGAGCTTTATTTCCTTCCAGTCTACCTGGATTTCAGTGGACAAGCCATCAATATCCACAACCTTACTGACCATTTCCAAAGGTCATCAGAGTAATTACCTCCAAGAGGCTATGGCAGGATTAAAAAGTGTTTGTAGCTGTATTTGCTGTACAAAGCTACATGCAGAAGCAGAGGAGTGGGGTCCTCAGAGCCATTAATTCCATAACTTCATTTGCAAAAGGAAGGGAGAGATTAATTACAATTTAGCAACTAAACTCAAGAGTTTACTGTTTCCTGGAAATTGAAATCAACAATACTTAGTCCTTGCACTGTTATATTGGCTGTTTACCATGGAAAATTTGACCAAATCTCTGTGTGAAACAGAGTACAATGAGAAATAATAAACATGTACAAGGTGCCTTCTTTGTTCTTTGCTTAGAAAGAGGCCTGTGCTTGTCCTCAACACACATTTGGGTATATCCCTGCTTAAAAATTCCTATCAGATGTCCAAGACAGTTAATTTCTTTGTGTTTCTAAGTTTCTTCTAAAAATCCTTCTTATGGATAGGTACTGCAGTCAGGAAAGAGTAACAATTTCTTTCATAAATATTTATGCAATTGCCAAGATACTCTCAGACATCTCAAATTTGCTGCTCTTTTAAGATAGCATCTTTATCTTTCTTTTGTACATAAAAGTTAATTCAACGACACTATCTTTCTTTTGTACATAAAAGTTAATTCAACGACACTACACATTTATGAGTGAAAATTAAAACCATTTTTCTGGAAAAATAAATATATAAAAGTACATTACAAGTTCTATGCCACTTCAGACACAAAAAGAAAAAAAAAAAAAGAGACAGAAGAGTCCTGTTAAGTTGTAAAAAAAATACTATAGAAGCTGTACTTAGAAGAATTTCCCCAACAGAGAAATTGTGTTTTATGGACAGCTTTCTTCAGTGCTGTCCTGGGGCTCATCCTCTTCTCCTTGTGCATGTGGCAATGACACAAAGATTAGTTGAGATAAATGAAGGGAAAGACTGAGAGAGAAAGAACATGAACCTCATTCACCCCACATGTAATTTAGCACCTTAATCACAAGATCACTCTCTCATTCTCTCTCTAAACACAGTAAACCCAAAAAATACTAACCACTTCAGTGCAAAACTCATTCCCCAGCTGAGTGTGACCCCACAAGAATGTCAGCAGAAGAACATAAAGGACAGAAGAGAACAACAATTTCAAGCAGAAATGATACTCTATCATTCTTGAGAACATGTTTTAGTGTCTTATTCTAAGGTCCTTGTTTTAAACAGGAGATTGGCAAACTGAAGGAGGATCACAAAGGCCTAGTTCAGGGTCTCAAAAATAATTTTTACAGAGTGTTTAAAAACATGGCCTATGTAAGGTCTTTGAAGAAAATGGTGAGTTGACTTAACCATGGTATATATAATGAGGAGAATACTAGTAACACACACACAAAATAGAAAACCCAACACTACATTAATAGCAAACTTTTAAAAGCTAGAGAGAGAAAGATGTAGAATCTACCTCTATGTGACAAATATAACTGCTTTTTTTAGGGATTTTAACTGCTATTAAATTGTTCCAATAGTTGTCCTAAGACACAATGGAGTCTTCAGGAACCAGCTTCACAAAAAAAGTGCTGCAATAAAAAGCTCTTAATTTAGACTACAAAACTTGCAGAAAATATTGTGCAGATCAACTGGCGACAGCCTCAGCCAGTGCTGATTTGGAAGCCTACATTCTTCCACATTTATAGAATCATAGAATCCTTTAGGTTGGAAGGGACCTCCAAGATCATCAAGTCCAACCATTGAGCCATTAGGGCTCTAAAGTCCTCTGCTAAAACAGATCAGAATCTGTCAGGGTTGGAAGGGACCACAAGGATCCCCCAGTTCCAACCCCTCTGCCATGAGCAGGGACACCTCCCACTAGATCAGGCTGTCCAGACTTAACATTCTCCATGTGACAAACCTTATGGGACCAAGAGCTACTGTTGTCTTTTGGAGACCCACCTCCCTCCGTCTTCCTTACAAAAGAACCACTTTGTGAACCTGTTCCATCTGCCATCAGCTGAAGCATTCTTTTAACAGAAAAGCAATAACTTGCATTTTCACTTCTGAAATTTTCTGAGGACATCATGTCTCTCTCTCCATCAATGGCAGCACCTCCACTTGAAAAACAAGTTACTACCGTATCACCAGCTTAGAAAAATGGTGGCAACTCAAAATTTAAGAAATGTAAATCATGCTGAAAGCAATTAAGTCACCATGCTAGCCAGTCTTTTCAAATTAGCACTCACTGGATGAAGCAGCTAAATTATGCTTGAAGACAGCATCTCATTCAACTTTGTTCAGTGAATAACTCAAAGCTTGGAGTCTGAATGCTACAAGAGCTATAGTATTATATATATATAAAGAACTTCTGTGAGAAACAGGAATTACTTCTCAGAATTCATACTCTCAGCAAAATAGCACAAAATACAGAGCACTTGAGATGGTCCAAATCACATCTCACAAGCCTCCAGCAGAACCAGGCTCATGGTTCAGGAAAGCAACTGGCTGACCACTTGGCTTGCAGAGATGACTGAAATTTGCCCTCCAAAGCTTGAAGAAAATAATCAATGTTCATGTGCTCAGGCAGAAAGCAAGGGTCTTGCCAGGTCCAGGTAGGTACACAGGCTGTGCAGATGCCCTCAGAAGGATGCCTGGACATCAGCCATGAGGTCAAACACCACCACATTAACATGCCCATGGGTGCTCAAATCAGAATCTTTCAGAGCCCTGAGTTTTCCCAGTATCAAGACCACCCATGGACATTCATTAAACCAGAAAATCTACTTTAATCTTCCAATAACAAATAGCAGTACAGGCAATGGCTTTCCAAAATATCCAAAGTTACTTTTATCCAGCAAATACCAATGTTGCTGCTGCCTCATAACACACGAGGTAAGTAGGAACCTGAACAGATTATGGAAGCAAACAGAAAAGTACTTTCAATTTTCAGGTAGACAAAATCTGAAATGTAGATGTGTGGTGTAAGCATGCATACCATTTACATCTCTTTATGTTGATAAAAGCATGAGAGACAGAAAACAGATGGGATGGGTAGAGGGAACAGGAAGGAAATCTTGGTAAAATAACACAGGAGAAAGGAAACATTGGCAAAATAACACAGAATAGAAGAGAATATATAGCAGGATGGGGCAGAGAAAATATGAAGAAAGAAAAGTCCATAAAGATGCAGAGTAAGAAAGGAAATATGTTAAAAATTACATGGAATTGATACACCTGTCTATTCTATAAAACAAAAAGCTAACACACAGAA